CTTTGACCTTGACATAATCTTCAAGGTCTAGGGTTAAAAAATCTAATGCAGTTGGTTTCATGTCTCTAAGACTTATCGTTTTGAAAATTTTTCATTATTTGTAAACTTCAAAAACTTTCAGGGGCAATAACTCATAAAAGGGGTCGACGAATACTTTCGCAATGAATAGATTGAAGAGTCTTCTCAATTAGTCGAAGACATTGGTGAAGGTTTCATAACTCTACGGTTTACGGTTTCGGAGGAGTAGTGATAACAAGGTTTCTAGTGAAAGGGGCAATAACTGCGAAAGGGGTCATAGGTTATACGCGTTGGGTCAAATTTGTTCATAACTTTTTATGACCTTTACGATGAACAAAAAATCTTTTCGATAAATGTCGAAACAAAAAATCAGCGGAAGAAAAATAATAATAATTAGAAGAAGACTAGTAGACTAATTGTTCTCGAACAATTAGAGGTCTTTCCACCTTCTTTAAATTTCATATATTCTTCACATTTAACTCTCTACTGCTTATTTTTATACAAAAGAAACCAGAAATGGCTTGAGAGATGGAAAAAATGAAAATTTTAAATTTTTTTGAAATGACCTTGACCTTTGACCTTGAACAAATATTCAAGGTCAAAGGTCAAGGGTCACATTGCAATTAACCCCATGCTTCTATGACTTTAAGTTTTAAAGTTATAAGGTTTACTAGTAAGCGCAAAGATATTAAAGGGCGATAACTCATATAAGGGGTCACCGGATACTTTCGCACTGAATAGATTAAAGTTGTGCCTAAAGACCCTGAATACATTAATGAAGGTTTCGTGTCTCTGCGGTTTACAGTTTCGGAGGAGTGGCGATAACAAGTTTTTTTGCACAAGGGGAAATAACTTTTAAAAGGTTTAAGCTTAGGGGACAAGATTGAAATCTTTGAAATAGTTTTAAAAGTACATATAAAAGATGCAAAGATATACTGTATATGTTGAAAGACAAAAAAGCTCTAAAAAGAGCTTTATTTCTCATATTTGGAGTGACCTTGACCTTTGACCTTGACATAATCTTCAAGGTCTAGGGTTAAAGAATCTAATGCAGTTGGTTTCATGTCTCTACGACTTATCATTTTGAAAATTTTTCATTATTTGTAAACTTCAAAAACTTTCAGGGGCAATAACTCATAAAAGGGCTCAACAAATCCTTTTGTAATGAATAGATTGAAGAGTCTTCTCAATTAGTCGAACACATTGGTGAAGGTTTCGTAACTCTACGGTTTACGGTTTCGGAGGAGTAGCGATAACAAGGTTTTTTGCACAAGGGGCAATAACTTTTAAAAGGGTTAAGCTTAGGGGACAAGATTGAAATCTTTGAAATAGTTTTAAAAGTACATATAAAAGATGCAAAGATATACTGTATATGTTGAAAGACAAAAAAGCTCTAAAAAGAGCTTTATTTCTCATATTTGGAGTGACCTTGACCTTTGACCTTGACATAATCTTCAAGGTCTAGGGTTAAAGAATCTAATGCAGTTGGTTTCATGTCTCTACGACTTATCGTTTTGAAAATTTTTCATTATTTGTAAACTTCAAAAACTTTCAGGGGCAATAACTCATAAAAGGGCTCAACAAATCCTTTCGTAATGAATAGATTGAAGAGTCTTCTCAATTAGTCGAACACATTGGTGAAGGTTTCGTAACTCTACGGTTTACGGTTTCGGAGGAGTAGCGATAACAAGGTTTCTAGTGAAAGGGGCAATAACTGCGAAAGGGGTCATAGGTAATACGCGTTGGGTCAAATTTGTTCATAACTTTTTATGACCTTTACGATGAACAAAAAGTCTTTTCGATAAATGTCGAAACAAAAAATCAGCGGAAGAAAAATAATAATAAGAAGAATAAGAAGAAGAAGAAGAATAATAACTAGTAGACTAATTGTTCTAGAACAATTAGAGGTCTTTCCACCTTCTTTAAATTTCATATATTCTTCACATTTAACTCTCTACTGTTTATTTTTATACAGGAGAAACCAGAGATGGCTTGAGAGATGGAAAATATTAAAATTTTAGAAATTTGGAAATGACCTTGACCTTTGACCTTGAACAAATATTCAAGGTCAAAGGTCAAGGGTCACATTGGACTTAACCCCATCCTTCTACAACTTTTAGTTTTAAAATTATAAGGTTTAATAGTAAGTGCAAAGACGTTAAAGGGCAATAACTCATATAAGGGGTCAGCAGATCCTTTTGCACTAATAGACTGAAGTTGTGACTAAAGACCCTGAAGACATTAGTGAAGGTTTCGTGTCTCTGCGATTTACGGTTTAGGAGAAGTAGCGATAACAAAGTTTTTCGCACAAGGGGCAGTAACTTTCAAAGGGGCTAAGCTTAGGGGACAAGAATGAAATCTTTGGGATAGATTTAAGAGTACATATTAATGATGCAAAGACCAATAGTATATATTGAAAGACAAAAGAGCTGTAAAAAGAGCTTAATTTCTCATTTTTGGAATGACCTTGACCTTTGACCTTTACATATATTTTTAGGTCAAAGGTCAATGAATCTTATGCAGTTGGTCCCATGTCTCTACGACTTATCGTTTTGAAAATTTTTCATTATTCATAAATATCAAAGACTTTCAGGGGCAATAACTCATAAAAGGGGTGCACGAATACTTTCGCAATGAAAAGATTGAAGAGTCCCCTCAATTAGTCGAAGACATTGGTGAAGGTTCCATACCTCTACGGTTTACGGTTTCGAAGGAGTAGCGATAACAAGGTTTTATTGCGAAAGGGGTTGTAACTCCTTAAGAGGTCAAAGTTCATACACGCAGGGTCAACTACAAAAATCTTTTAAAGAGTACATTCTTATAGACTATAAATCTTTTTGATATATCTTGAAACATAGAATCACATCAGGGGGTGGAAAAATAATAATAATAATAATAATAATAATAATAATAATAAACAGAAGAATATCAATAGGTCTTTCCACAGAAAGGTGGAAAGACCTAATAAACAGAAGAAAATCAATAGGTCTTTCCACAGAAAGGTGGAAAGACCTAAATAATAATAACTAGTAGACTAATTGTTCACAGAACAATTAGAGGTCTTTCCACCTTTTTAAGTGTTTCCATGTAATTTGGGCTGTAAAAAAAGAAGAAAAATGCCAAAAAAAAAAAAAAAAAAAAAAAAAAAAAAAAGTTCTTCCAGCAGGGATCGAACTCAGAACCCTTAGCTTGAAAGGCAGACGCGCTAACCACTACGCCACGAATTCGGATGAAGATGTATGCAGTAAACTACCTATTTAGGAATTTTAAAAAAATTGTTGTACAACATAGTTATCGGAATTGAATAGTTTTGAGAAACATGTTTCCATATCATTTGGCTTTCAAAAGAACAAAAGAAAGAAGAAGAAAAATACAAGAAAATAAATAAACTCAAAAATTCGTCTTTTGCTATAGATTTATAGTCGGGCTCGTTTCTCCGTAGAGTTCAAAAGGTCTTCGCGCAGCTCCAAAAAAAGATGTTTTTTTTTTTTTTTTTTTTTTTTTTTTTTTGGCGATTTAGGGGCCAATTTTTCTCTCTTTCCCCTTCTCTCTTCCTTTCTCTTCTTCTCTCTTCCTTTCTCTCTCTCTCTCTCTTTTCTTTTTGCTTCCGTGTTGATGGCATTTGTTTACATAGTTACCATGGAAGTACAATGCATGCATGACATGTGTTTTACTGTGCATATCGTAATTCTATTTTTGTGCACTGTGCATTCGAAGGTTTAATTTGAGGTGTTAAATGTTCTGATTTAGTTAAACTACTTAGAAAAGTGCCGATGAAATAAATCGGACTCGAGGCTAATGGTATGTAGGTCGTCATATAGGAAAACATGGACTGGACTCAAAGCGACCTGACTGCGGATCCTAAGATTGTTGCAGGCTCAGTAAGAAGATTCCTGAATGAAACAAGCTTCCATGTGGGTTATATTAAATGCAGCTATGATAAATAAAATGATCTACATGCATTTTAAGAAGAAAACAAGATAATTAAAGCGTGGAATAGTTTATTTCATACATTTATATTGGTTTAACACCCCCCCCCCCCCTTTCATATATTCTGTATTTCTCGTATTTTGGATGACCTTGACCTTTGACCTTGACCTAATTTTCAAGGTCAAAGTTTCTAAAGTAGTCGAAGACACTGTCGAAGGTTTCGCATCTCTACGGTCAATGGTTTCGGAGGAGTAGCGATAACAAGGTTTTTCGCACAAGGGGCAAGAACTTTTTAATGCGTCAGGCTTAGGGGTTGAAAAGTGAAATCTGAAAATAGTTTTAAAAGGACATATGATGTATTTAATGTTATGTAATATATGTTGTAAGACAAAAGAGATTTTAAAAGAGCTATATTTCTCATATTTAGAGTGACCTTGACCTTTGACCTTGAACAGATTTTGAAGGTCAAATGATGAAGAATCCAATGCAGTTGGTTTCGTGTCTCTACGATTAATCGTTTAAATTTTTTTCATTATACATAAAGAACAAAAACTTTCAGGGGGCAATTACTCTTCAAAGTGCTCGATCTATCATTTCGCAATACCAAGATTGAAAAGTATTCTTAAGTAGTCGAAGACATCGGTGAAGGTTTCGTAACTCTAGGGTTTACGGTTTCGGAGGAGTAGCGATAACAAGGATTTATTGCGAAAGGGGTTATAACTCCTCGAGGGTTCAAAGTTCATATACGCAGGGTCAACTGCAAAAATCTTTTACCAAGTACATTCTTATGGACCATGAATCTTTTCGATAAATCTTGAAACTCAAAAACACGCGGCGGAAAAATAATAATAATCATAAACAGAACAATTTCAATAGGACTTTCCACAGAAAGGTGGAAAGCCCTAATAATAAACAGAAGAAAATCAATAGGTCTTTCCACAGAAAGGTGGAAAGACCTAATTACTATCACTGTCAATGACTTCAGCAAACAGGACTTGTAGACACATGATAAAATAGGTCTTACTCAAGTGTAAAACACAGGTGTGACTCACCAATGAGTGAGGATTTACAGGTAGTTTCTGGGTGGCAGCCCCTGGGACACACTCCAGTGTCTGGGTCACACTTCTCATCATCAGCACAATTACACGGCCTCTCACACTGCGTCCCCCAAAACCCCGCCTGGCACACTGTAGAACAAAGAATTACTGATTACTCATATTTTGGAAAGTAATCCCTACTTCAGAGTTATTGACCAGAACTCTCTGACGAGACTGTAGCTCTACCTGTGATATACATTAACAGTTGTCAGGTTGCTCAGTACAAGTAAGATCATAAGTAAGTAAATCAGTATGTTTAAAATGTTTATTCTGAATGCAAAGTAATAAGTAACAGAGTAAAAAAAACATAACTGTACATCACACAACATTTTGATCTTGACCAAGAATGGCAACAACCTTTACTCTTTGGATGCAATTTGTTACTGTACAAGTAGGATTTTTTTTATAATGTTAACCTAGTATTTCAAAAGAATATCATACATTCTGTTATTTTTAGAGACCATGGAAACACTGTTTATCGATATCAAACATAGGTAATCAGAGATTACAGAGCTCACCTCAACGAATGTTGTCTTTAAGTAAGGCAAAGTCCAAAACTAAAAATCTAGTAGTGTGCCTCCCTAGATGTAACATTTATGCAATTTTGGTCCAATAGGACTAGCAGTTACTTGGGAATGGACTTGCCTAAAAACTTTAAAGTAGTCACTCATCCAGAAAATGCAAGTCATATCCAGCATCTGAAGCAAGTTTGAGAGTGTTCATCCTATGATGCATCATCCATGCAAGTTTGGTTCAGATAGCCCTTATATTTTGGTCACTCATCTGGAAAATGTAGGTCAGATATAGCATCCAAAGCAAGCCTGGTAGTGTGCATCTTTAGAAGTATCATCCATGCAAGTTTGGTCAACATATGGCTTAAAGTTACTTGGAAATGAGACCTGCTCCAAAAACTTTAACCTGGTCCAGCATATGAAGCAAGTCCAGTAGTGAGCATCCTTAGATGTATCATCCATGCAAGTTTGGTCAATATAGGGCTTATAGTTACTTGGAAATGAGACCTGCTCCAAGAACTTTAACCTGCTCCAAAAACATTAACCTGGTCATTCTTCAGCTGAAATTGCAGCATTTGAAACCTTGACTGGTACAATGAAACATACTAAAAGCATCCTCCATGCATCTCTGATTATTATAGGGCAAAGAAGTACATGAAAAGAAAACTTCACCAAAAACTTTAACCTGGGACATCAACACTGATGCCGAGGGTATTACAAAAGCTCCCCCAACTTCGTTGAGGTGAGCTAAAAACTGATAAACAGAATGATGTTTATTGGTGTAGACTAACACTGTACCAAGTTTCATTAAAATCACTCCAACACTTGAGGTGGAATATCAGTTTGATAAATTGTTTACAGATAAACAGACCAACAGCTTGAGAGGCAGAAGATAGACACCTTACCAATGTATAAGCTGTTGTACTCTCTTATAAGTAGAGCTAAAACTGTAATCTGCTAATAAAAGCCAAGTACCTGTAAACATTTAATCCAGAAAGCAAAATGATTTCTTAAATTCATTAATGCAATTAGAAATTAATATAAAATTTCATGTATATATATATATATATATATATATATATATATAGATAGATAGATAGATAGATAGATAGATAGATAGATAGATAGATAGATAGATAGATAGATAGATAGATAGATAGATAGATAGTCATTAGTTTTTTTCCTTTTGAAAATGTACAACAACCAAAGTGTCTAGTAATCTGATTTAAGAAAATGTTTGTTTATGACATAAAATGTTTGACTGAATAGTTCATGCATTTCATGTAATATTTTAAATCTTTACCATATATTTCCACCTCACAGATGAAGAGAAAGTAAGGAGGATATTTCTTGCGAACAAACACAGTTGTGGCCTTTCCTCGACAAGATGTGTCAATTCTGCCAGTTTCAGCAATTTCCTTGGACTGTGTATAGCAAACAGAACCTCCACCTACATTTTCAGTTTCCGATAGAACTACATCAAACCCTTGCATTTTTCTGCGATTGCTTTCTGAACCTAATTAAAAATACAAACAATAATAAATAAAATGTATTTCAATCCAATCACATAAACTTTTTACATGCAAGTATGGGCAATTTAGGATTGCTGTCAAAACAGAAACATACAATTGCTTTTTAACAAATTTTGTTAGAATACTAGTCAAATATTTCTATTCTAATTTTGGGTTTCTATCTGTATGACTGCAAGGCCATCACGGTTTATAGGGTGGGCCGGATACAGCTTTTGAAGCAAGTCCAGAATATGCATCCCTAAATGCACCATCCAAAAAAGTTTTTGGTCTATGTACAGCTTCTTCAATGTAGGAATGGAACCTTCTCCAATATCCAGTAAAGATAGTGTCCATGTATTGGAACAAAGTAAGTCAACTTCATTTAAGGCCCAGCAAGGAAAAATATTCTCTATTATAACAAGAAGTCTGTGAGCCAATGTTCACTTATAATACACCCGCTCTGATGTGAATATACAAGTTCAGTTATGGACAGACATAGTGAAACTCAGGAAGTTGACAGTGGATCTGTACAAAAATGAATCCCAACATATGGCATGCTTAAACAAAGAGTGTGCTAAAATTTCAAGCATCTGTGATGAGTAGTTGCTGAGAAAACTGCTACCAAAATTTGTTATGTATGGTACATATATGGACAGACGCACGAATAAACAGGAAGTTGACATCGGAATTCATACAGAAATGAATTCCACCATATGGCATGCATAAACAAAGAGTGTGCTAAAATTTCAAGCATCTGTGATGAGTAGTTGCTAAGAAAACAGCGACCAAAATTTGTTATGTATGGTACGGACAGACGCATGGATAAACAGGAAGTTGACATCAGATTCGTACAAAAATGAATCCCACCATATGGCATGCCTAACAAAGAGTGTGCTAAAATTTCAAGCATCTGCAATGAGTAGTTGCTGAGAAAACTGCAACCAAAATTTGTTACTGAAAGATGCATGGAGAGACAGACATACAAGGGTAAACAGTATACTCCCCTCTCCTTTGGAGCGGGGGTATAATAACAGTATACTAATCATTGCTACAAACTTGTCATAAAATACTGATGGTCTGTTAACAGGGGGGAAGGGGGTGGGTTCAAGAGATTATAGCTGTGAAATATTGAAGATCGATGTAGATGGTTAAAAGAAGGGAGTTTAGGTTATTATGAATCTAAAATGTTAACCACTGTACTTTAACAGTTTAAGGGTGAGGGGGATCAAGCTATTATAGTTGTGAAATACTGAATACCCTAAAAAATAAGATGGAGAAAGTCAGAATTTTGTAGTTTCATCATGACCAGAAATACCCCCCCCCCCCCAAAAAAAAAGTGAAGAGGGTTTGAAATACTGACCCCTTGTTTTAGTTTAATGGTTACAGAATGGGGTTCAAAATTAAAGCTGAAAATGTAATCATCAGATTTGTCCTAAAAATCAAATTTGTAGAATTGTGGTTATGATATACATAGTATAGTGTAAAGTTACAAGTACTTTCAACAAATTTAGAACCACACAACTTACTGTTAGAGAACAGAATGATATCATTAATGTTGTAATTCTCCTCCAGTATTATTCTCAGTCTCATCACCTCCTTAGAACTGTTAAACAATGTACAGTCATTTCTCTTTCCATTAACTGTATCATTTCCATAGTTTTTTCCGTAACTTTTTGCTTTTGTTTTTTGTTTTAAGCCAACATTTTCTGTATGAATAAAAAAAAGTCTCAATGTAGTGTACATAACATCTGATATATTTGAGTCAAACAATTAAATTTATAACATAGGTAATCAAAGATTACAAAGCTCACCTCAAAGAATTTTTCTATCAGAAAGACAAAGTCTCAAATCAATTGAATGTTTTATAAATTTCCATGCCTGGATACATTTAACATTCCATACAAGTTTGGTCTGGGAGGACCTACAGTAACTTGGGTATGTACCTATTAAAAACTACTCAGTCATCAATCAAGGGCATATTCAGCATCCAAAGCAGGTCTGGTAGTGTGAATCCTTCTATGCAAGTTTATTAAAGGAAGGTCTTTAGTTACTATGACATAGATATGTTTCAAAAACTTAGAACTGGTCACTCTTAAGGAAAATGCAGGTCAGACCCAGCATCCAATTTAAGCATGTTGGCTAATGTGCATTCTTAGATGCATCATTAATGCAAGTTTAATTACAAAATGGCTTGAAGGTTACTTGGAAATAGATCTTCTCTGAAAACTTCAGCCTGTTAAGTGTTTCATCGTCTGGAAAATGTACCAGATAGATCAGATCCAGCATCCAAAACAAATCTAGTAGTACAATGATACCTCCTCCATGCAAGTTATATCACCATATGGCTTGAAAGTTACTTGGCGATAGTCTTGCTCCAAAAACGTAAACAACTGGAAAAATGTATGTCAGATCCAGCATCCGGAGCAAGTCGGGTAATGTGCCTCCCTAGTTGCAACTTGCAACACCTACGCCAACGCTGAAGCTGAGGGTAGAGCATTAACTCCCCCCGTCTGTTAATCTGTTTGTCTGCAAAAACCAGTTGCCCATAACTTTTGAATGATTGGTGCTAGAGCTTCAATATTTCACATGTGAATTCCATGTGTACAGACCTTTCTTTGGGTACCAACATTTTCTGGCTTTCAACTTTGACTTTGAGTTTGACCTACTTTTGAAAAACTTCAACCTTGCCTCTTTTAAACGGTAGGTGCTATGACTTTCATATATCACGGCATTTTTGTGACAAGACCTTTCTTTGAGTAGCAACATTTTTTATCTCATGACCTTATCACCTTAGAGTTTGATCTACATCTGAAAAAATACAATCTTGCTGTTAGAGCTTTCATATTTCACTTATGCATTCCTTGTGATAAGACCTTTCCTTTCGTACCATTATGTTTCGTCCTCATGACACTGACCTTGGAGTATGATCTACTTTTTGAGAACTTTAACCTTGGCCATATTTTCTGAATGGTCAGTATTAGGGTTAAATATATTTCACATGTGTATTCCTTGTAACAAGACCTTTCTTCGGGTATCAACATTTTTGAACTCGACCTTGGTGTTTGACCTACATTTGAAAAACTTTAACCTTGGCCTTGAGCTGCCATACATGGGATTATTGTTTTACAAACACATCTTTTTTGGGGTTGGTTTGTTTTCTTGGGGGGAGGTCATAATTACCTTTGTGTCAACTGCCAGAAACAAATAAATTTATGGACAAAAGGGTGAATTCTTTCACCACTTGCATTTGCAGTATGAAAATATGTAAAAAATATTTGATTGAAATTAGTTCAATGGATAACAGACTGAACATCCCTTGATCAGGAAAAGCTAAGGACATAAACAACAGGAATTTAATTCATCGCTGATAAAATACAGAAATGAAATTCATGCATTTATTTCACACCACATTAAGTTAAGTGGATTTATTCTGTTTAACAGATTGTTGAATTGTTTGAACTTACACTTCCAATAAAATTTTAGATTTTCACACTTTCTGAAACTTATCTAGAGAAACTAAAGCATAAGGGTATGCAATGTCTCATTTTACAATGATGTAGGATATGATTTCTTACTCATTTGACAGTTTGGCCCATGCCAGCCTTCCATACATTGGGTGCAGGACCCGGTATCTCTATCACAGGCTGTTTTACAATGGCACTCATGACACTGTACCCCAAAGGTATTAACTGGACATTCTACAAAACAAAGTTATTCAAATGCATTTAACTAGACAATCTTAAAACAAAGTTATCCAATGTAATAAGCGGACATTCTACAAAACAAAGGTAATAAAAAAAAAACAAACAAAAGTAATTATAGCAAATTAAATTATAAATGCACTAGAAATTTTAAAAAAAAAGGGGACAGCTGTACTATATGAAATGAAATCTTGACAACTGTGGACAATTGCTAAGTAGACACTAGTGATGTACCGATAAATCGATTATCTAATCGAAATGGTCCCCGATTATAGATAATCGATTATAATTTTGATAATCGATTACTCAAAATATTAGTTAAAAGCAGATTATTCCTTTGATTTTTGATTCATTCTTCTTTGAATTTAACTAAATCCTAAATAATAATCTAAGAAATGAATCCAATGATACAAAATATTTCAAAAATGACTCTAGAAATCACTCCAGAATTTCTAACCAATTTATTCTTGATTCAAAAATGAACAAATATAATATTTGAAATTGATCGATTTTTAATCCATTATAGTGCAACCGATTATTCCGATAATCAATTATGAAAAAAATCCCGATTTCCCATCGCTAGTAGACACCTCCCACCTCTCAGGCAGATAAAGGTGGACCACCCCACACAGAAAAAAGATAATATTTAGTACATAAAAATTTACAGTCAGATAAGGACCCTTCAACATCCACCTGTAACAGAGGCAAATCTTACACCACCATATTTCATGTAATAGGCATTCCTATACATTTTCAACAGTTTCCTAAATTTTATGCATTTTATTTCCCAGGTTTTTTATTTGTTTTGAGATTATGCTTGGTGTAAATTTCAAGCTTAGTGGTTCAGTATTAAAACACTTTGCATCAAGCACAACAAAAACATCCATTTTAATAAACAACGATATACCAATATACATTTATTGACTATAAAACATGCAATTTTGGTCTAGGTTGGCTTTTAAACTGTTTTCTCATCTGGAAAATGTGGGTCAGATTAAGCATCTGAAGCAAGTCTGGTAGTGTGCATTGCTTGATACATCATCTGTGCAACTTTGGACCAAGCAAGGCTTATAGTTATTTGGGAATGAACTTACTCCAAAAATTCAACCTGTACAATCATCTGTAATAGTACATCAAATCCAGTATCCAAAGCCAGTCTGATAGTATGCATCTCTAGATGCATCATCAATGCAAGTTTGCTTCAGGTAAGCTTCCAGTTACTTGGGTATGACCCTGCTCCAAAAACTTTAACCTCGTCACTCCTCTAGAAAATGTAGGTCAGATCCAGCATCTGCAG